GGAAAGCTCTTGGAAAGCACAGCCATATGCTTCTTCTGCTCAACTGCACAGTGAAAGAAAACTTGCTTGAAATTCTTCTCCGAGAAGATATTATGCTTTTGGTATCCATTTTCTGGAAATCATCAGGTGATGATTAGGTTGGAAACATGCGATTTGATTAATCCTAAACATCAGAGCGTATGTTACGGTAATTGTTTTGTAGGAACCCTCATCAAGTTGGTGAGGCTTCTCATCTGCGTGACAGTTATCAGCCTTTTTTTCTCCATTTAATGTCACCAATCACCTTTAGCTAGAGCGTATTTAAAAACCCATTGATCTTTATAATGCAGTGCTTTAATATGACAGTAACAGTTGTACGTGATGCAGGAAGTCAAATTGTAGAGATTGATGAGGGCTTGCAGGTGAATTATAATCCATCTACCTGAGTGATGCCTGCACTGTGTTCCATACCAGCAGGCCGACAAATAAATAAAACCCACAAAGGTGACACTAGGAATTGATACTTAACAATCCCTCTGAGCAACAAGCACTAGGAGCAGCTTTGACTGAGAGGAAAACTCCCCCGGGAGAGACAGAGAATGAGAGAGAAATGGCAAAGCTGGGAAGGTTAATGGAAAAGAATGGACTGGATTTGCCAAAGGTCACACATACGGAGTCAGCACCTTGTTTATGATTAGAAGAGGTCTGAGCACAGCTTGTGTTTGAGCTGCTTAATAAAGCGCTTTAAATGACTATTGATTCATGTTTCGGAAAGAGAACTATGAATCCGCTTCGTGGTGATTACCTGTGTAAGCATACGGTCCAGCGTTTTTAATCCTTAATGAGAGGCTGTACGGTAAAGCGTGGTCGCAGAGGTTGATCCTATCCTTTTTAATTGGTCCGAGGACCTATATTTCATTATAATAAATAATGTTGTATCTTCTAATTTCTAAAACTGTAGTTGGCCATGAGATGTTTGAAGACAAATTGTGAATTTTAATGGCCGGTGGACCATCTCTTATGCAAATTGACTGTAGAATTAATTGATTCGATCCAATTTCCAGATCCTTAACTAGATTGTGGGATTACTAACTAAATCTGGAATGTGATGTATGTATGGTGTCCTGTGGGCCGTGTGGTGCGGGGCTTTAACTGGCCGTTCCGCCAATTTTTCAAAAATTCCCAAGATAAACTTATTTGGAGCGTGGGCCGTAGTCTCATTCCCTGCGCTGAATCGGGATGTGAATATGATGAGCGACTGATGGGAGTCTGTTAGTGCGCTCAGTCTAGGTTAGTGCTTTGGATCAATGCGTGACCCTATTGGAAAAAATGGGGAATTTGGAAGAACTGACCTTTAGATGAAAAGAAATGGAATGAGAGGCGAATAAAATGAAAGCAATATCCAGTTAGACTGGTAAAATTGCAAGGTGTATGAGTGTAATTACTTGATGTTAATAATGAGGTTGATTTTGATGCTGATTGGTCGCTATGCAGAGAAAGTGTGCTTTTGTTCAAGTGTGCATGTGTTTGTGTACTCTAGCATTCATAAAGTCACAGAATTTATATGCTATACCCTCTGTATTTTGTTATATTTATCAATGAAACCCAGATCTGCATATTCGGCTGATGCACCATTATACATCAAATATATCTAATATCACCTGATATTGTATATTTAATTGTGCATACTTGTTTTGTGCATGCATATTTTTACATTTAGATTGCCTTTGCCACTCTCAAATAAAATCTTTAATAACACTAATAATTTAATAACACTGTCAGATGTATTTTTCAAAAAAAAGAATCTTACAATTAATATGTTTATTTTTCATATACTATTTCTTTCCACAAAATAGTATATATTCTCCCCAGTGTTTATTTATAGCTTTGATATAGATCAGCCATTTAACAGGTATTGGCCATAGCATCAAATTAAATATTAGTATCATGTAAAACTTTGATGTTTTTTTCAGTAAGCAAAAAGAGGTGATGTGATCTGATAGCTTTATTTTCTCTCTCTAAATGTTTTATAGCAATGCCTCAGCGATGGATATCTATCATTGTTAGCCCATATACATCATGTTGAAGAGGAACTTGAATTATATCAACGACAGCTTTGGATCAATTCAGTCATGTAGTGTGGAGGGTTTGCGCTGTGCACTCTGTGTGGTTTTAAATGCCTAAAAATAGGTATTTTTATTGTGTGAGTGGCCAGAGCAAGCTCTCTCATCCTCTGTGATCTTTCGCCAGGGGTCGTGTAATGCTCCTTAATGTGCTCGTAAATCATGACTGGTCAGCCCATGCACACAAGAATGTAAAGAATCCAACGCAGCCTCCATCTATCTTTCGCTCTTCTTCTCTCTTCTAGTCAGTCCAGTAAATCTTTTTCTCCTGAACACTCAAAGAGGAATTTCTCTGCAGCTGATTTTCTGCAAATTAATTACATTCTGAGCTCAATGATGGATTTAGGAATGTAGTGGACCCGTTGTGCTGTTCTCTTTACCGTGAACTAAAGCTCATACAGTGCTTTGTTTGCATTAGATCTGGATCCTTCTTAGTTCACAGGCTGATTTCCCATAGGGGGCTACATCACGCAAGCACTGCAGGCCGTCTATTATAAAAAGTAGGCCTGATGTTGTTCAGTGGTCAGTCTAATAACAAGTGCGTGAACCTCTCATGCCCCTTTGAACTTCAGTTACTGAATTTCTCTCTTGTTATGATAATTCAGTCATAATGTATTAATAATAATTCACATTAATTCATCTTGTAGCCAACATAGACAATTAGGAGGACATGTATGTATCATTTAGATTGTATGTATCATTCAGATATTGGTCAATCAGTTTGTGGTTTATATATATGCTGTGTGTGTCATAATCTATTTACTTATATGTTTGTATATTTTGTATTCTTTATTAACAACATATACAGAAAGGTATATATAGTATAAAAAAGTATATATATATATATATTTAAATTTATGCATTTAGCAGATGCTTTTATCAAAAGTGGAGCGCAAAAGAGGAACAAAGCAATTCATCAAAGAGAGAATTGCAGAGAATATTTTTTTTATTTAGTTTTTTATTCATTTTTGAGAGCCTGTGATACATTATAAAAAATGCAATATATTTATTATTCTACACTCTAAAAAATGCTGGGTTAAATACAACCCAGTGCTGGGTTAAATAGGGACAAACCCAGCAATTGGGCTGTTTTGACCCAGCGGTTTGGTTAAATGTTTAACCCAACCTTCTGGGTAGTAACCCAATCGCTGGGTCAAAACAACCCAAGTGCTGGGTTTGTCCCTATTTTACCCAGCACTTGGTTGTATTTAACCCAGCATTTTTTAGAGTGTATTTTTTCATAATATATCATATCTAAATAGATATGCTTTCTGCAAATGTTCTTAAAGAATTAAAATATAAAAAGCCGTGGGGGGAAAGCCGTGGCCTAATGGCTAGAGAGACAAACTCGTATTAGTTAGAGAGTCGGACTCATAACCCAAAGGTTGTGGGTTCGAGTCTCATACCGGCAGGGATTGTAGGTGGGGGGAGTGAATGTACAGCGCTCTCTCCCACCTTCAATACCACGACTGAGGTGCCTTTGAGCAAGGCACCGAACCCTCAACTGCTCCCCGGGCGCCGCAGCATAACATTTTATAAATGCAATACATTTACTAGACAATAATTTACTGAGAGCATTTAAATTGATATTCTTTGCCTGTTTAGAAGTTTTACATTCGATGCAACTAAGCTGGTATGTTAGGTTAGATCCAGTTTAAGTACAGCAAAGCACTCAGCATTCCGTTTAGTTGCACTAAAGGGGCCACCGGGAGGCCAACTCCTATTTTGCATATGGAACACTGCCCCGTGGTGATGAATGGTAAGTTCAGCAGTACAGCACAGACCGTGTTCCATTCTCTCGCGGCCACTCGTATAAAGATATGTTCGTGCACTTATCTGCAAATTACAGTATCAGATTATTTATTTAGCTCTGTGATTTAGCCTCAACGATTCATTACAGAATCATTTGTTCCTTTAATCAGAATGAATGGAATGAAGGGCTATTTCCATCCTCTTGATTACAGATGCTGCATTGTAATCTATAAATGGAAACAAGGTTGAGAATATAGTTAAACCTATGATTAATTGTGCAATGTTGCCGATAGTCTTGAAATTAGTTAAGCCAGTGGTTTCAGACCCTCTAGGAACGGGGTTGAGAACCACTCAAGGCTACTAAGTTAGGCTACTAATTATATTGGGTCTAGATTGATTTATGCAAAATAACTGAGATTGTCCAAACTGAAATTGCCCAATTAGTTCAAATTTCAGCTGAAGTTAATATTTTTGAAAAGGTAGATTTTGCTGTTCCGTGCTTAGCTTATAAAATGACACACGGCGACGTCCTAATTAAACATAATTAATCAAAATGAGTTATCACCCACTCTGCCAGGGGCGGTGCCCACAAGCCTTGGCTTCTTCACTGCTAACGTTGCTGTAGTCCAATTTTGCACAAATGTAATAATAGGCTGTTTTTAGAAAAGAAGAAAACCAAATCTGTTTTCTTCAAATCTGTGCTTCAGCTCCCATACTGGAGAAGAGCATGTTGGAAGGTTGGAAGAGAAGTGCACTGCCTGTCATTAGGCCCAGCGGGTTGAGCGGTTGTGAAGCTGCTCGAGAGAGAGAGGGAGAGAGAGAGAGAGAGAGAGAGGGAGAGAGAGCGCCTTGTCTAAATGATTAATGTTGCGAGGTTGGGAGGCGGAGGCGGAGGAAGGCATATATGTAAGGTTATGTTTTAAGAATACAAAGTACAGTATTGCCTAATTCAAAAAGTATCAAAGTAAAATCCACAGAGGCATTTTAAAGCTAAATTAAGATTCACTCTCAGTTGTTTTTTTACCAAACTAACAAAGAAGATCTGAAAAACAACAGAATGACAACAGTGTCATTTACATGCAACACATTCACCTTTATTAACTATCCAGAGGGATTTAATTAGTTTGAAGCAACCACTTTGCAGTTTCAAAAAGCATGCTTTTAATCAGATATGACTGAAGTACACTAAAAGTGGTAAGAACTAGAATTATGAACATATTTTGCATTGCAACTCTGGCATGTTCACACTTTCAAAAATCAAATCAAAACATTATCAAAGCAAGAATTCTGACAATGACGTAGCATTGTGACAGTGTTTTGTTTCCTGTGTTATTGCTTTATTCATTTGTCAGTCAAAACACCATGAATTCAGATTCAAATGAACAGTACTTTCAGTATAAACAGGAAAACAAAACTTTGCGTAAAGTCAAACTCAGTCAATAGGAGAACACATCATTATTCAACATGGGTTGAATGTTTGAACATTTCTGGCCATTATAATCAACAACATTCCAAGTTAGGAGTGTCAGCACATGCCATGGGAAAAATAGCATATCATTTTGGGAGCAATAAAAATATGTTGTGCACTTACAAAAGTTGAGCGGATGTTAATGACCATTCAAAGTCTTGAATGCCCTTTTTAAATTGTATTTTCTGTGCCCAAGAGATAAACTTGTACAAGTGAGCCTGGATCTGTGCGCAATAAATCTTGGCGCTTTGCAAAGATATTACTACAGCAGTTTATGCACAGTGGAGACTAACTCTGATTTACCATGTACTAGCTGATAACATGTAATCTGGTTCAGAGCGAACTTGGCTATTGAACTTAAATTTTCATATAAATCGTCATGTAGGGGCAATAAATCTTCAATGTCCTTAAATATGAATCATGTCAGAGAGAGTTATAATGCGGGAAATAACTGGTCAGTGACAGAACAGGTACATATTTTGTGAAGAATTTGCATTTCACATATCCAAGAGGATTCAGTCATTTCCACCATTGATGTGAATTGTGATTTTGTGTTGGAGAACCTGGTTGTTGGACTTCCTGTAGTTTCACCAGTGGTTCTGGGCACAGTTCATACCAGACATTGATGGTCTCTCATAGTGGTATTGGAATTTTAATGGCACTGGAGGATCCACTGTGGTGCCACTAATCACAAAGGGCTGGTTACCTGTTTCCAGGTAGGAGTAAGAGGACTTTGCCATTGACTTTTCTTTGTGATCTTTCTTATACTTCATACGACGGTTTTGGAACCAGATTTTAATCTGGCGGTCAGTGAGCTTCAGCAGCACAGCCATTTCAAGTCTCCGGTTGCGGCACAGGTAAGCGCTGAAGTGAAACAACTCCTCCAGCTCGGTTGATGTGAATTGTGATTTTGTGTTGGAGAACCTGGTTGTTGGACTTCCTGTAGTTTCACCAGTGGTTCTGGGCACAGTTCATACCAGACATTGATGGTCTCTCATAGTGGTATTGGAATTTTAATGGCACTGGAGGATCTGAGGGCTGGTTACCTGTTTCCAGGTAGGAGTAAGAGGACTTTGCCATTGACTTTTCTTTGTGATCTTTCTTATACTTCATACGACGGTTTTGGAACCAGATTTTAATCTGGCGGTCAGTGAGCTTCAGCAGCACAGCCATTTCAAGTCTCCGGTTGCGGCACAGGTAAGCGCTGAAGTGAAACTCCTTCTCCAGCTCGAGCAGCTGGGAGGAGGTGAATGCTGCACGTGCCCGTTTACTATTAGAACAGCCGCTATCCTGTACATCACCACTGCTGTACCTGGAATCACCTGGAAAGTATGCAGATATATAGAAATGTTAAAGTACATCAAGTCTAAGATCTGTCAAGGTTTAGATAGTGAACAGAACTCTCTTCCCAAAGTATTAACCATGTTGCATAGCATAATACCAGAGCAAATCTCTCTGATGCCTAAACTGTGATGATGAAAATGTAGCATGACATCCTTGAACATGCTCAGCTGCAAGTTTAAACCCCCAGTGATAAATCAGTGTACTGAGAATCCAGCACACTGTCTGTGGGCAGACCACTGTTGGTAGACTAATCACTAAGTTAATTATCCATTTCATATGATTTCTACTGTGGTTAGATTCCTAATGATTGTGTGTGTATTGTTTTTTTTTCACCCATTGTCCTTCCTATCAACAAAAGTTCTTCAAGAAGTGACCTCTCAATGCCATAATGTTATTACTGCACATATAAGCTGAAAATCACAATATATATATATATATATATACCACATATATAACATGTCATTAATTGTTGTATATGTGTGGAGAATGTTCACTAGTGTAAATGTATGATTTTGCTTGGGTTAAAATAAGTGAAGCAGTCTTATCTGTGTGACCCAGAAAAGCATAGCCTCAGATAATATAAAAATTTCACTGTATACTTTTTTTATTATTCCGCTCTTTAGTAAAAGTTTCAACTTAATCAAGTTCACAGAACAACTGGCTGTCTCTAGAAAATATTACTTTTCTTAGAAGTTCTCTTCTTTTTCCCCCCTTTTATGCAGCTTATGCATTTTTAACTTGAGAAGAAGATATTTTCATACAGTGTAAGTGCTGTTAGACAAAAATTACTATACTTAAAATATATACATTGTAATTGTGTTTTTATCAACGAGTAATAAGCATACAATAATATTTGCCCCATCTTGTTTTTTGTTGTTGTTTTTTTTGCCCCATCCATGTGTCCACATTGACCTTGATGGACTGGACTGATAAAATATATATATGGATTAATTACCTTAACGGAACACAATAAAACTTTAGTTTGAGACACATTTGGTTTCTTCTTACATGGACGTTTACTGGAAATGAGCAGTCTTTATTAGTCAAGATTGAAATGTTGCCTGTAATTAGGGATTCGTTTTCTATTTAAGAAGGAAGGAAAACACTAATAATTGATTAATAACTGTAGTTCTCAATGATGTCAGTCACTGACATCAGTGTCTAAGTGACAAATCACATTAACATAGAGCCAAATCTGACCCAGCTGTTATTCATTATCGACTAAAATATGACTGACTGATTAGATTAAGTGGTTATTTCTAAGCAATACAAATCAATATACCTCATTTAGCCCAAAAACGAGTTCTCTCACCTGATTCCACGACGTTAATGGAGCTGAAGCTTATAGGTGTATGTGTCTCTCTCATCCAAGGGTACTTCTTGGTTGAAAAGCAGGAAGTTGACAGCTTGCACCCCTCGTCTCTTTCCGTTGCATTCGCCCGGTCCAAGGATTTTGTCGTTTCATTCGCGGAGTGGCTGACACCAGCAGAGGATGAATAGGGATGTTGAGAGAGTTTTTGAAAGTTCCACATATGGCCTTCATAATATTTTGATGAATTTTCTTCAGCATGTTGTCTCCACGTAAAACTGCTCTCCTGCAGAGCACAAGGGGAGAAATGTGGCTCCATAGAACAAACATGAGATTCATTGCAACACATCTTGTTCAAGTAAGCATTGTTAATATGAAATTCGTGAAACGAATTCTTGTGCATCTCTAACCGCCCTAATCACTCCGGTTGGATAATTGATCACACAAGGTGTAGGAAAGACATTAAAGTACACTCACTGCCGTCTTTAATTGTTTTCCAACAAGGGTAAACAATGTAGTCACGTGATGGCCTCCTCCAATAGCCTCGCGCACTGGCTGTTTGAGTTGTAAAGTGCTAGAAAGCAACCAAACGAGGATTCCGTTTTCCTCCGCACTCTTCAACTATTTTGCAATTTCGAATGATTATCCTGTGGACAGACGAAAAGCCATGAGCAGGGCGCATACATTACCCTGTTACCGTGCTGACAGAGTTGAGAGAGCCTGATTTGGGAGGTGGGAGGGAGAAAGAAACCCATTTGGACAGAGAAAAGACATGCATGTCTGGGATCGCGTCTCCTTAGTTTTGCCACAATGGATTGCAGAATACAGACTTCATTTCGGTGAAAACGTTTTATAATACAATGTTTGAAACCTTGACTGACTTATATCAGTCATCTTGTGGTAGGTGTTATATAATAATCGACTTATTTGCCTTGTAGTTAAATAACTGTTCCTGTAACGCTTTACAGTTGTAACAACAGCTCCATACATGTATTGATTTTTTTTTAAATATAAATTTAAAATCTTCTTAATCCTTCGTAAAACAGCCATGTAGATGTTTTAGCAGTGCTTTTTATTAATAAAATATTTCAGTAACACATTGTTTGTCTTTCTCCATCGTCATGTTTTTTGTAAAAAACAAACAACAAAAAAAGGATAAACAACGTTTCTGAGCTGTGAAAGAAAAATTGCAACACACGTTTATTGGATCTGTCGAATACTAATGGCGTTTCTATACAATTTCCGACGTGTGTTGAGATTTCTGCGCATTTGTACCTGGTGAAAAAGACATAAAGAGAATCAATGGGTGTGGTCAAACAAAGGGATTTTGAATGTCAGTGCTGTACTGACAATGCACGTCAAAAATAATCTTAGTGCAATGATAAGAGTTTCGTTTTTCCATTCACTGGCAGTGTAAGGAAATAGTCGCCGAGGTGGCTATTTGCTCGTCTCGGGTAACCAAAGAAATACGTTCAAGTTCATCGCCTGTAGTAGCTAATCGCATGGGCTACTATTTAAAACAACGTCCTGATGAACAAAGAGCAAGAACAGCCCGGATTTGGCGTAAGAACGACATTTTAGGGCAATGGTGAAGTCTTTAGAAACTTGTTGGAGTCGGGTAACTTGTTGTTTTTAAAGTCCTTTTAAACAACTACAGATTGATCACAAAACCTTTTTATTCGCAACAGAATTAGCCTTTGTCCTCTGACGTCATGAAGCTAAGCTGGTGGAGGGAAGGGGGTCATTGCTACAAAACGTTATTTAGCGCTCAACCTGTCCAGATCGCTGTTTTTTCCCAGACACCTATCGACACAGTAGGATTCGTTTTTAGCCAATTGCTAATTATAACGACTGCTTGCCGACAACATTATACATAAAGCAGTCACGCTGAAGTAAGTTAGTATCCCCAGTCTGAAATGAACATAAAAGACATCACCCTTCCTTTAGGCTACATAAGCTGTGGACAGCGGTTGTCTCGCACAAGTGATTAATTGTGCACAAGGTCTGAAAACCAGTCCCTTTTCATTTACTCTCCACAGTGTCTTGTTTGAGTATTTACTCAGACACTCAGTACTGTCAATAACATGTCTAACGTATTTTCGAAGACAAAGACTGATAGCCTCAACGATTCACTCTTTGTCTTGCAGGGATTTTTTATTTTAATTTATTTACTTTATTCAAAGAATGCTTATAATAATACACACCTCTCTATGAGTTTCTGAAACGCAAAGAAAGGCCTGCCAGTATGGGCAGGTATGTTTTTGATTTGAATAATGGTCGTCTCAGTGCTCACCAGTGTTGGGGAAAGTTACTTTTAAAAGTAATGCATTACAATTTTGCATTACTCCATAAAAAAGTAACGAATTGCGTTACTTTTTATGGAAAGTAATGCGTTATGTTACTTTTGCGTTACTTTTAAAATCTGGACAGGGCTTGCTTGTTTGTTTTTAAAATAAAAAAGTTATATTTTTGGCAAATATGAAAGCCTTTTCACACCAAAAGTGAAATGATTAAGCCTCAGGCTGAAGGGAAAGCACATTTACAGCCATACAGTAGAATGCAGAAGAAGAAATTTCAACACACTTCAGCAATAAAAAAAGACACAAATGTTTGTCTAGAGTAATTTCTGCTTATTAGTACGGTTGAACTGTATCATCGAAGGTCAGAAGCAAAGGCATTAGTTAATAGAGTGGGATAAAATACATAAAGGATATTTGTGTTGTTTAACATTTAATTATTGCAGGTTTGCGTCATATTCTGAGTTGGATTATTTTTATTCATTTTGAGAAACACTGAATCTGTGTTTTTTTTGTGAGTGAGATGAATTAATGCATATTCATATTTATTTTAGAACTACAGTAACATCTGATTTCTCTCAACATGGGGACAGGAGAGCTGTCAATCAATAAATTTGAAAAAAAAGCAACTTGCGTTACTTATTTGAAAAAGTAACTAAGATATTCTCTTGTAAATTAAAAAGTAATGCGTTACTTTACTAGTTACTTGGAAAAAGTAATCTGATTACGTAACTCGCGTTACTTGTAATGCGTTACCCCCAACACTGGTGCTCACACATGTTAAGATAACTTTGGACTTTGGAATGACGTGTAAAATGGCGGTAAAAATGATAGCAATTTAAAAGCCTTGTATTTCATTTCGGATGGTTTAACTAGTCAAATCATAACCATTCATATACTGTTTATTAAAGAAGAATATCAAGGACCCGTGGGGCTATCCTCTTCGGTTGTAAGGCTAAAATCAATCTTTTCCTAAAAACGATTTGTTATTTTGAGTTTAGTGAATTGCTGTCACAAGCCTTGTCAAATAGAAGCATTCACTATGCATATTACAAGTCCGGCTTCTGCCGAGCTGCAGCGCTATTAACATGAAATATTACTGCGCCCGAGTGTGCAAGGAATGCAAGTGTACTCATTCCATAACCACATATGAATTAGATATTCAATAAATGCTATTTAAACAATTTCGATGCATTTTTTATTTTATTACTATTAATATTTTTGGAAGTGGTGGTGGAGGGTTTTATTCTTCTTCTGCAGGTTTTATGGTCCCCCTTGTACCTTTCATATACTTCAAACTCTTCCCTTATTGTTTGAAAGTCGCCTGTGATCTTGGGAATTTTCTAATTAAAGTAAGTTTGTTCCCTTGTCTCATGCTGCTGAGTCCATTCACTAAATCTGAAAAGGAATCTTTGATGTAGTGGCTCAGCAAGACCATAACTCAGCGCCTCCGCCGGTACACTACAATTCTCAGTGAACTCTGTTTGAACCACGTTGCTGGCAATAAATCATTTTTCTTTCTCTCACAAAAGCGCGCCGGTCGCTCTGGGTGTCAACCCTTTTATAATTCCTCCCTACCTTCTGCGCTCTTGTGGTTGCTGACACAAACAGCTGCATAAAACATCGATAATAACATCGCTTTAACCATTTCATGCAAAAACAGACTCTCTAAAGAGGATAAAACGGCAACGAGGCAAATGTTGGAAATAGTAAACAAATTAATGGAATGCACAAATGGCCGTTTGCATACAGCTGTCTGTGGCTTTCTCTACCATAACTCCAACTCTTGAGGACATAACCTAAAATTTTGGAGAAAAAAACATTTTAAAACTTTGTATTGGGGGATGAAAGACAAATATTGATACCATGTGAATAGTTCTTTCTTTTGTATGTAAGATATTTTATTGAAATCTACAAGCAGACCTTTGCGTTTCATAAAATCATAATCTTTTCATTGTTTCTGCACAACGCTATGGATTAATTTCTTCAATAAACATTAGTAATATCCTAATGGTTTTTAGGCATAGGACAGATAAGAGAGTAAATCCAGGAAAGGATTTTAATGAACAGAGGATGTTGTTGGTTATAACGATGCATACAAATGGGTCTGTCTCTGAAGAGCAAAGACTAGATTTATGTCTTTGGTGCCCTGCGTTGCTGTAAACAAATCTGAACCTAAATAAAACGATTGAAATTTAGAGAGATCTCTCAAGAGTTCCTGACACTTAGAAATAAGCTCTACTTAGGACTGCTCTACAATATTGTTTTGTTTCATTTTAAAGTAAGCTAAGCTAACTGAGACTTGTTATAGCACTTGTATATCATTGCTCTTTTGTTGATTTTGATTGCTGCCATTGTCCTCATTTGTAAGTCGCTTTGGATAAAAGCGTCTGCTAAATGACTAAATGTAAATGTAAAGTGGACCAGTGTCATGAAAGGTGAATTCAGTCAACTATTAAAAAATATATAATATTAGAAACCTGAAATAGGAATACAATTCACACGTGGTACAGTTTATATAAAGTTGTCGTGTTTGCAGTAATTTCAGTTTAACTTCATAACTTCCTCGCACCTGTGCCACATTTTGCAGGTCAAAAATAAAACGATACCTGCTACTATATATGTCTAGAAGTTTTATTTGCACTTATGTTGAAAAGCATATTTCAGATTTTATTTCTAATGTTTTCATTGCGTTTTATCTTTATGAATGATTGTCTGAAAGTGATTGAACTTTCCTCTGTTTCTCTTAAGCTAAAGCTGTCCAGTTTTGCAAGGATAGTTTCATGTTTTATTTCTAAAGTTTTCATTGCATTTTATCTAAACACCTTATGACTAATAGTCAAAAAGTCATTGAAGTTCTTTGTTTCTGTTAAGCTAAAGTTCTCCGATTTTGCAAGGATTTAAAAGTCAGTCTTTAATTTTTCAACAGAATTTAACACACTAGAAATTATATTCTATGCCAATAGAACATGCCTAGTTGAACCACTCACCATATTGTACAGAAAACGTTAATCTACGAATGCCATTTCTCTATAGAGAAGATGACATTAATCATTGCGGCGCAGCAGTACGTCTAGTGACCTCCTCATGACCGCATATGTTTAGACACATTGCAGACACCCCGGAGGACTGGACAAAAGCCTCAATACACAATTGTACATCTATACT